TAGTCAGTACTTATGGAGATATGAGGCCACAAAGTTGGCACTTGGGGATCACCTGATGGCAACATGGAGCGCTGCCACTTGCAAAAGTGTTGCTGATATTCCTTTTTTTTTTTCTATTTTCATATTATTTTATATAATTTTTATGTTCTGATAATTACAATTTATAGTAGTTCTTGTCATTTTATAACCAATCTTTGTTCTGACACTAGTATTAGGTACTGAAATTGTACTCAAATTGTCACAAACACATTGACAGGTGGACATTTACACCTGCCTTGGCCATTTACTATTGTCTTGGAATATATACAAAGTATTTATATGTCCCAGCAATGTTTTGGATATGTGGAAGTATATAATAATGAGGAGGAGAAGAAAAATACGTAATATGTAATACGTAATAATAATAATAATAATAATAAGTTCCCTTGAAGCATGAAAAACAAAGTCCACCCCTGACAGTGACATGATAAGACAAGATAACATCTGATAAGAGCTGACGTTTGATGAGCATACACGAGGGTGCAGCAGATAAGAAAAGATTAGAGGTGACATTTCATGAGCATCACCCTCCATTGTTTTCGCTGGTACACTAACATGTCTGTCTATTTGTCTGTCTGTCAAGCTCCCTGTCTATCCATCTAGCTCTGTTCAGAGAGAGCCACAAAACTGCGTCATCACCTTTAGTCACATCATCAAGCAGAGTATAGCACTTTGTCTGGATTTTTTGGGTTATCCTAGGTAATTTACACTATACTTGTATTTATGTGTACCTGTGAGACAGAGATAGACAGATAGAGAGAGACAGAGACAGATAGACAGGGATAGACAGAGACAAAGATAGAGATAGACATAGATACAGACAGACAAACGGAGATAGAGCCAGGCCACCAGCAGCTGGCCAGCCACACAGCTGGCCACCATGCAGCTGGCCAGCCAGCCAGCCAATTAGTCAGTCAGTCATCCAGCCAGGCAGCCAGCCAGAATTGTTTCTCTTTACTTAGGCCATAGGTTATAAGACATTCTGAAAGGGTGTTGCACAAATATTGCACATGGGTTATTATCGAGGTTTTTTGATATTTCCTCGACCACTTGTGGCCACATCCACCTCAAAGCCACTAAACTCAGGGTCAAAATCGCTTTCCTCTTAAAATGGGAGTGTTAATACTACATGACATCAGTGAATCCCAGTTGTTTGCTGCGCTGTTTGCTCTAGCTGGCACTCATTTGAACTGGTGCTCCCACAAGGTACTAAGTGGTCCTAGATTTTTTTAATACCATGCACACTGAGTGTTAGGACCCATTCTATGCTGACAAGGCATCTCAGGCCAATCGTGCCAAATTTGAAGGCAGGAAAAATAAAATGTATATATACGTTTGGGGGCACTAACAGTAAAAACGTATATATACGTTTAGACTGTTTACAGGTTAAACTGATCAGTCTACAAAAAGTTGGTATGGACAACTTGCCTAGATGATGTAGCGATTGGCCTCAGTATTTTCCTACTTGGAATGTAAAATTTTTGTTGACTTTGTTTTTTTTTTATGGCTCGGTACATCAGTAATAAAATTGCCTTTGTAAAATAAGAAGAAATGTAAGCCAAACACTTCCCAGAACATGCTTACATCACAATGCAGATTATTGTCAGATTGTAGCATCCACATCTAGCGGCAGTGCTAAGAGGTTTTGTGTGCGAGTGGCTTGGACTTCCAGCAAGCATGTGTGAGCATGTTAGATAGGAGTGAATGGAGACAAATGGTTTTTAGGACTTGACATGCTGTTGGAGTGTGAGCAAGGGATTCAGGGAAACCTGCAGGCTGGACTTGAGTCCTGGAGTTGGGAAGTACAGTGCCTGCACTCTGAAGGAGGGGTGTTAATGTTACAGTTTTATAACTGTAGTGCAAGTGCACCTCTGGCACAGTGGTGGAGTGAATGATAGTGAAAGTTTCTTTTTTGGCCCACCCTATCTTGGTGGGAAATGGCTGATGTGCATCAATTCACAACTAAACCACAATATGCACATATGCTAGGAGAAAGTGAAGCTGGAAAGCAGCAAGTGCAGAGGCAGGATTCTGTAAGAGGGTGCAGAAGCATTGTCTAACCACTAGTTGTGATATACAGCAAGTCGATGGATATGGGACAGTTATCAGAGATCTGGAAGACAGCAAATGTAGTTCTTATATTTATGTAAGGAGACAGACAGGAGACATTAAACTACAGACCAGTTTCTCTTGATATGTATGCCTTGCAAGGTAATGAAGAAACTTATCAGGGGATGAATGGTAAAACAATTGAAGAGAAGTGCCCTCATAAATAGTAACCAACATGGATTTAGTGATGGCAAATCTTGCCTCACTAACTTGGAGTTATAAAAGTAACATATGTGTGACAAAAAAGAGAGAGTAGGGTGGGTTGCATTTCTTTTTTAGACTTCAAAAAGGCATTTGATACTGTACTCCACAAGAAGCTGAACCATAACTTGAGATTCAGGTGAGAATAACAGGGAACGTACTCCGGTGGATCGGAAAGTATCTTGGGTGAAGGCAGCAAAGAGTGACCGTCAGGAAAGAAACGTCTGAATGGGGAAGAGTAACTAGCAGGGTTCTGTGAGGATCTGTATCAGGACTGGTATTATTTGAATGACATTCTGAATGGGTTTGATTCAGATCTATCTGTTTGTTGATGTAGAACCAATGAGAATTAAAAAAAGATGAGAATAAGAACAGACTCTAAAGAGATCTGGATGAATTGCTAGAGTGGTCAAATAAATGGTTGCTTGAATTCAACCCCAGTAAATGCAAGGTCAAAAAGATTTGGGAAGGACTGAGAAAACTGGAACAGGGTATAGACCAGGACAGAGGCTGCAAACTTCACTCAAGGAGAAAGATCTAGGGGTGAGCCTTGTGCCCAGTATAACACCCGAAGCTCATATCAGCTGAATAACCTCTGCAGCCAATGTTCTTCTAGCAAATCTAAGAGTAATTTTGAAGAATCTCAGTGAAGTCATTCTGGGCCCTATGCACAACATAAGTTAGGCCTATCTTGGAGTGGGTAGCACCAATATGAAACCAGCACCTGAAAAAGCATGTTAAGAAACTGGAGAAAATGCAAAGTATGCAACAGGCTTGTTTCTGAGGTAAGGGGTATGAGCTGTGAAGAGAGGCTAAAAGAATTGGACATAATGACGTTGGAGGACAGAATAACCAGAGGGGACATAATAACATACAAAATATAAAGGAATATTGATAAGGTAGACAGGGATAGGCTGTTTGAGAGAGCAGAAACAGGAAGTCAGGGACAAAGATGGAAGTTAAAGGCACATATGAGTCACAGGAAGTTGGGAAGTATTTTTTCAGTCTCACTGTGGTCAGGAGGTGGATTGATTTTGGTGAAGTAGTGGTGGAGGCAGGCTCCATATATAGTTTTAAGAGCAAGCACAAAAGGGTTCATGAGGCTAAGAGAGAGTGAATCTGGAGAGTATGCCAGGTTAAGGGGCAGAGCCAGGATCTGAGAATCAACCCCTTCTACCACAAATAGGCAAGTGCAAGAAGGGAGTACACGTGTTGTGAGATGGGTATGAACAATATAATGGATGCAATTGGAGTAATATACGACTGCTCTACCTAGGTGTATGTAGTAGAAGTGGTGTCATCTGCCAGCTGACCTGTCTCACTGATGCCTACATTGTAATTGCCATGCCCATGGGCAGTGCTGGGGTGTGAGCTCATGTAGGTTAGCGTCGCTGACCTATTAGTGACTTAACAAAATTTTAGCCTGCTCACACTCCAGCGGCTCGTCAAGTCCCAAAAACCATTTGTCTCCACTCCTATCTAACACGCTCACACATACCTGCTGTATGTCCAAGCCCTTTGCACACAAAACCTCCATTACCCCCTCCCTCCATCCTTTCCTAGGACAACCCCTACCCTGCCTTCCCTCCACAGATTTATATGACCCCCAAGTCATCCTATTATGCTCCACTCTCTCTAAATGACCAAATCACCTTAATGTCCCCTCCCCAGCCCTCTCGATAATACTTTTAGTAACTCCACACCTCCTGCTAATCTCCAAACTACAAATTCTCTGCATAATATTTATGCCATACATTACCCTCAAACATGTCATCTCCACTGCCTCCATCATTCACATCATCTTTGTCTTGCCAGAGGCATGCATATACGACAGTTCAGATGACCCTCCAAATAGTAAATATCCTCACTCCTTTAGAGTGCAGGCACTGTACTTCCCATCTCCAGGACTCAAGTCCAGCTAACCGGTTTCCCTGAATTCCTTCACAAAATGTTACCTTTCTCACACTCCAACAGCTCGTCAGGTTCCAAAAAAACGAATGTATATGTACACGTACATTTTAAAAAATTACTGAAGAAAAGTAGAGCATGAATATCAGAGAATTGTCTTTGCAAATGTGATCAAATACTCAGACAACAAGATGTGTAGATTTATACAATAGTGACTCGTGTGCACAGAGCTGCTTATCACTACAAACAATTAACTATAGTTAGGATTGGAACTGAAAATTTAAAACCAGATTTTAATAATTTTTTATACAATTCCCTTGATGCAGTTTTACAGGAGTTGAAATAAAAAACTATGATGACCATTGAAAAAGGGACACTGAGCATGGCTCCATTCCTGTAACTACAAGTAGTATCACACACACAAACATATATGCCAGTAATTTTGGAAAGGGCATAAGTTTGTTAATTTTGGTGAATTCATAACTAGAAACATTCCTTTTCCTGTGCTAAATTACTGTTTCTGATGCACTATGAGCTTGTCTATCCCAAACCAACATAACATACTAATGTGTGATGGGTGTCAGGCTTGGGGCATAGGAGACTGGCAGGAGGGGGGCAGGAGAGCTTTGAGCCTGTTGAGGCCGAGATTGCAAATGGTAACATGACCTTTGGCAATCTCATCCTCACCAATTCGTCCCCGGCTACTTGGGACTCCGGCAATATGGCTCCCTCTGTCTCCCCAGCCGGTGGGTCGGCGCTCAGTAATGGCCCTTCCTTCACATCTCCCTTGGCTGAGCTGGACAAAAAGGTGGAGGAGATCTATGACATCCCTGTGGGTAAGTGACGAAACTATCAAGTCAGGTCGTGGGCTAAGCATCACCATGAATTCTCAATGAAATCACCAATTTTGGGCTCTTGACTTTGTTAGACCTCAGTGTTTAACAGCTCTCTATTGGTGGTGGCATAATGCAGTAGGTGCCAGACTATGGTTGTATTTTCATAGCTTGTTGTAGAGAATGGTAGTCTTTGTGGTATGGTTTTGTTTGTATTTTATAGTGCCAACATTTTTCTGATTATTCAAGGTGATTTGTACTGCACAGTATTTATCTAGAAACTTAACATTCTTATTAGTGGATTGTGCATGGCTGTAGTAAATATCTACTTAAAAAAATCACAGATGTTTTGGTTAGATGTTGTGTGCTTGAAATGTAGACCTCACTCACTACCCTTGAAGGACAAACTTTGGTAACAAACTTTAGTATTTATGAAATTACCAGTTTCCCAGAGCACTGTTATCTTTGTATTTTCCTGGTGAATGTGACTATCAATATTTAAAGAAAGAACTGGATTCTCTGGATTTATTCAACACATTTTAAATGGAGGTACTGGAAAGATGGAACATTTTGAAGAATTATTCAATGTTGTTGAAAGGGAGGTGGTAATTTCATGTGGGCAAGGAGGAATAACCTTTGGTAGACATAAGGAAAAGAAAGGGGTGAATATGGAGGAAGTGTGTGTGGCACTGTAAAATGAAAGGGGGTAAAGTGGCTGAGACATATGGGATTGAGATTATGTTCAAAGCAGGTGAGGATATAGTTTTGGAATAGTTTGGTTGTATATTAAATATACTGGAGCTGTGCATGAAAGGGAAGGTACCTAAGGATTGGCAATGAGCATGTAGTATAGTTTCTTTAAGGGAAAAGGGTGCAAGTGAGAGTGAAAACTTTTTAATTTTTAACTACCCAGCAGTCTCCTACCAATACAGGGTGACTGAATTAAAGTAAACACATTCACCATCATTTGTTCAATGGCAAGCATGAAAAAAAAACACATTTACCATCATTTGTTCATTGACAGGTATGAAATAAAAACATTCACCATCATTTGTTCAATGGCAGTCTTGCCAGAAATGCACAAACATTACGACATCCCTTCTCCATTTGAGTACAGGTGCTGTACTTCTTACCTCCAGGACTGAAGTCCAGGTAGCTGATTTTTCCTGAATCCCTTCATAAATGTAAGCTTGATCACACTCCAACACCATAAATTCACATAAATTCACCTGTCTCCACTTATTCCAGTGTAATATGCTTGCAAATGCATGATGGATGCTCAAGTCCCTTTACCCCCTTCCTCTAACCTTTCCTGGGATGACCTCTACCCCTCCTTCCTTCCACCCCATTTTATTCACACTTTTGGAGGGAGTATGGAAAAAATGTATTTAGATACATTCTGAAGTAGATATGTTGGCAGAAGGGTATGAAAGATGAGATGAACCATAGAATAGCAAAGGAAGGGGTAGAGTAGATAGCGTTCACATTTTTTGGAAAGAAAGAAGTTACGTCTGTTGAGGCAATAGGGAAAGTGTGACAGAGTATAGTGGTGTGAGGCATGGGCTTTAAATGTTAGGAGGAGGCTAGAGGCAGTGAGGATATTTTTGAGTGCAGTGTGTAGTGTGAATATTATGCAGAGAACACAGAGCATAGAAATTAGAAGATGGTATGGTGTTAGCAAAGATATATTTCAGAAGGTGGAGTTGTTGGGGTGGTTTGGACATTGAGAGGATAGAGCAGACTAGGATAACCAAGAGGGTACATAAGTCTCAAGTAGAAGAATGGATAGGTAAGGATTGTCCTAGGAAAGGTTAGAGGAAGTGTGTGAAAGAGGTTTCAAGGGGTAAGGGGCTGAGCATCCAGCAGGCTCGTGTGATAGTGTTAGATCAGAGTAAGTGGAGACGAGTTTTTCTTTTTATGGTATGACATGTAATTGGAGTGTGAGCGAGCAAGGCAATATTTATGAAGAGATTCAGTGGAACTGGTTAGCTGGAAAGTCCTGAAAATGGTTAGTAAAATGTCTGCACTCTGAAGAAGGGGTCTGGATATTGTAGTTTGGAGAGTCATTTGAATTGTAAAGTCTGTGCACTTCTGGCAAGACAGCTATTGAATGAATAATGATGAGTGCTTTTTTTACTTTCTCCTAACTTGGTGGGAGATGGCCATTGTGATAAAAAAAAGAAGTGAGACTACTCATTTTTGAAAAAAATTTGATACACAATACAATGTACTGGTAAGATGCTTACAGAATTCATTGAACAATTATCCTAATTTGGTAGGTAAGTAGACAGCAACCACCCAGTGAGGTACTACCGTCTTGCCAAGTGAGTGTAAAATGAAAGCCTGTACAGTGGACCCCCCGGTTTACGATATTATTTCATTCCAGAAGTATGTTCAGGTGCCAGTACTGACCGAATTTGTTCCCATAAGGAATATTGTGAATTAGATTAGTCCATTTCAGACCCCCCAACATACACATACAAACGCACTTACATAAATACACTTACATAATTGGTCGCATTGGGAGCTGATTGTAAACCGGGGGTCCACTGTATTTGTTTTACATGATGGTAGGATTGCTGGTGTCTTTTTTCTGTCTCATAAACATGCAAGATTTCAGGTACATCTTTCTACTTCTTCTTACACTTAGGTCACACTACACATGCATGTACAAGCATATATATACACACACCCCTCTGGGTTTTCTTCTATTTTCTTTCTAGTTCTTGTTTAATTCCTCTTATGTCCATGGGGAAGTGGAACAGAATTCTTCCTCTGTAAGCCATGCGTACAAATTACTGTACAAATTACTAAATTTAAAAAGAAAAACTTTCGTTTTTCTTTTTGGGCCACCCTTCCTTGGTGGGATGCGGCTGGTTTGTTGAAAAAAAAAAAATGATCCTAATACAGTACTATCACTATATCCAAAGTTTTTATCTTTAGTTTTGCCTAAAACTTTGTTCTTAACATGGTCTTTAAAAAAAAAATTAAAATTTACATGACTGTACTATTTTCCAACTTAATCCTAGAGGTAGAGTGCTGCATACATCATTGATGTAGTTTGTGATGGACAAACGTGACTCCAGATAGGGTTTATTGCTGCAACACAGAAATGAATGAATCCTTTGAGTAAATTAAGTACTGATATCTTAGCCAACATACAAATCATTATTGCATACACACTGTAACATATAGTTTGTGGTTACTGCACTTTTATTAACACATCGGCTGTTTCCCACTAAGGGAGGGTGGCCCGAAAAAGAAACACTTTCATCATTCACTCCATCACTGTCTTGCCAAAGGCGTGCTTACACTACAATTATAAAACTGCAACATTAACACCCCTCCTTCAGAGTGCAGACACTGTACTTCCCATCTCCAGGACTCAAGTCCGGCCTGCCGGTTTCCCTGAATCCCTTCATAAATGTTTCCTTTTCACACTCCAACAGCACGTCAAGTCCTAAAAACCATTTGTCTCCATTCACTCCCATCAAATACAGTATGCTCATGCATGCTTTCTGAAAATCCAAGCCCCTCGCACACAAAACCTCCTTTACCCCCTCCCTCCCAACTTTTCCTAGGCCGACCACTACCCTGCCTTCCCTCCACTACAGACTTGTACACTCTTGAAGTCATTCTATTTCGTTCCATCCTCTCTACATGTCCGAACCACCTGAACAACCCTTCCTCAGCTCTCTGGATAATAGTTGTGGTTACTGCACTTGTTTAATATTTAGTTGTATGCTACTACAGAACAGTATTTGTTGCTTTCATAAGCTATATTCCTATTACTCAGTAGTACAGTATCTTCATGCTGTAATTACCTGTTTGTACTTTACATCATATTAAACTCATTGTTTATTTTTCAAACATTTAAAATAAAGTTTATTATAGTTGTATCACCAACCTGTCAAAGCTCAGCTTGAATATTAAAATGTATACAGTGGAACCTCGGTTTTTGTTTGCCCAGGTTTTTGTTGAATTTGGTTTTCGTTCATCACCTCGGTTTTTCTCGAGTTGACAGTGGTCCGCCGTACCAAACATGGCCCCCTGCGCCCACACAGCATCCCACATGTTCTGAGTCAGCCTGTCTTTGTGTCTCATCAGTAGAGGGTGATTGTGGTAATGATAGTGGTAGAAGGTGGTAGTGGTTGTGATGGTGGTAGAGATAACCTCTCTTCCCTCTCCCCTCCTCGCCGTCTTCCATAAGCTAAAAAGTCTTCAATAAAGGTAAAAGTGATGTTAAATGTTCATTTATCCATTTCATTAGTCCTTTATATATATTTCTCTTTGTTTTCTCTATGTAAAACTATAGTTATTCTCTATAAAGTGTATTTTTTGTTAATACTTTGGGTGTGTGGAACGGTTTAATTGGATTTACATTATTTCTTATGGGAAATATTGCTTCAGTTTTCATCGAATTCGGTTTTCGTCAAACTTTCTGGAATGAATTAATGACGAAAACTGAGGTTCCACTGTACATGTAAAAAATAATTTTAAATAGTTTTTTTTGTCATTAAAACATTATGCAAATGTATTTTTTCTGTATAAACATGGTTGTCCTTACAAATTAGTAGGGGTTACATTCCTAGAGGTCCCACAAAACAAGAATCTACAAATAATGCAAAATTACATCTGTATAATAAAGTTTGTTTCAGATTTGGGTTCTTGTTGTTTCAGAGGCCACAATTTGACGTTTCAAAAGAAATAATGGCTTTCCCACTTCTAAATCTCTTGTCATTCTGGTCATTAAGCCAAAAAAAAGAAAATAATGGGTAACTGAATTTGTATGCTGGTTACCCCTCAGTAAAAATATTGGATAATCAAACCCTGTAAATTTGTAGGGATGACTGTAATTGTATGAATGTGCATTGTTTTTTTCAGTGAAGTGTATATTTTCATGATACAGTATAGACAAGAGTAGATTCAGTGGCAACTAGTCTTTTCAGAAGATTTAGAAATACAGGGATCCCTCATTTTATAATGTAGATGGCAACAGTACTAATTTAAGTAGGCCATACAAATTAATTCTGCATAATACAAATCTTTCAATGTGTTTTGTAAACTATACCTATCACAAACAATAAACATATTTCACATTCATGTATGTGGAATTACAGAAGTAGGACATTGTGTAAGAGTGAAATTTGCATAAAGCAAACCTGCACAAAACCAGGGGAACCTGTTCATTCCATTTACAGTATCTTGATATTTTAAATTATACAAAACAGAATAATTTTTACTGACAAAAGTTTATAGTTTATTAATAAAAAGTTTAGACTCTACAGTACCCACTATTTGGACAAACCAGAGTTCTCATGTTTAATAGCAAATATATCTCGTCAAAGCTTGTCAGATCTCGGGTATTGTACTGCACACATTGAGATAGCCTGATTAAAACCTAGTATTGTGTACATTAAATATTCTTTCAACAAACAGGCCATATCCCACGAAGGCAGTGTGGCCCAAAAGGAAAAATGCAAGTTTCTCCTTTTAAATTTAGTAATTTATACAGAAGGGGTTATTAGCCCCTTGTTCCTGGCATTTTAGTCACCTTTTATGACACGCATGACTTGCATTAAATATTATTATAATCAAAACCAAGCACTAAACCTATGAGGGGTGCACGTTAAATAGCTTAGATTTATATTTAGTATATTATGCACATCTTACCAGTAATAGTTTGACTTAGTATAGTGGACATCATAATAACCAGATTTAAACCTGGAGTACAGTTAATTAAAAGACTTTTACAGTTTATTAAGGATGTCTCTCCTCAGCGTCATATTTCATTCATCAATTTGTTAAGGTTAAGGTGGTTGATTTTGGTTTATTTTGCACTCATAATTTAATTTGTAGTCAGTAAATCCTGTTGAAAATGGTAAAAAAAATAAGTGGAGAATGGAAAATAGTTAATTTAGCATTTGCTTCTCTTCAAGAGTTGGGGTGATGTGCCAAAAAATGACAACAAAAAGGCAAATTTTTCTTGGTGTTATTATGGGAAATAAAAGGAAGATGGAATGTATATTTAAAAAAGTTGAAAATTTTTACCTTTTCAGAAATCTTCACTGCATAGAAATTAGCTACTGTTCTTAAAAGATTGAATTTACAAATGTTTGAGGAATGACTTGATAAAAATGATGACGTCATGATATATATGGTACTTAGTTTGTAAAGCATAGAAAAGGATAATAGAAGCTGACAGTAGAGTAATTGAGGGAAATACTGGAAAATAAAATTTCAATATACTGTATATTGTATATACAATATGCAGTATGATATTTGTTCTTTAGAATTGATATTAATTTACGAGTTCTAAATAAACAGATATAAACATTCTGCGATAGTACTACTGTGTAATTTCCCATAGCTATTTGGAGCAGTGTTGAAAATTAATAATTATTACTTTGTGTAACGGGGTGTGCCTAAAAAAAAAAAAAAAAAAAGTATGTACACCTTACCAGAGTAAGTGTTGCATTAACCTTTAGGATTACATTTTGTTGAAATGTCACTAATAGGATTGAATAAATTTATTGTAACCAACTAATATGCAAATGACCCTCTTTTTAACAGCTTCTAATGATGACCATGATGAGTAACTACCTTTCAGTTTTTCCCTTGGGGCTGAGTGCTGATTCCTTCAATTGTCTTTTAGCCATTGCAGGAAATAAATATCCTTTTTTACACTCCTTTCCTAAAGGCTACTTTGAAATAATTAGTGCCATAATATTACACGTCCTTGGTTGCAATGTTCCCAAGTTCGTTCCTGTCATTGACCAATGTGAGCATTGTTAATTACTTCATAAATACCATAATGTCATTCATACTTAATAAATAAATGAGCCTAGTAACTGTCTTTTTCTGTGTTAATGTATTTTAATCTTTGTGGCTCATTTTGAAATTTTATTTAAGATGGAGGACTACAGCCATCTGTATCGGCAGGTGCAACCACAGAAGGACTACCGCAAGGGGTGCTATACCGGGTGCGTGCAACCTACAAGTACACTCGTGAAGATGTAGATGAAATCAGTTTTGAAGTTGGTGACACCATCCAGGTAGTGGAGTATGAAGATCCAGAGGAACAGGTGACTGATGACTGAGTAGCTATAATTTTAATTTGATGAAGTCACAAAAATTGTATGTAGTTATAATTAAGTATAAGGATTCATTCTAAGGAGTGCATCTGAGACTTTGCTGAAAAACTTGATTATGATGTCGCTTTATTAATCATTTCTGCATACATCAGGCTTAGCGCTTCTTTTTTATTATAATAATAATCTGCATACATCAGCTTAAAAAGTAAAAATACACACATTTAGCAATTAAAGTGAAAAAAAAAACCTGGAAAGCAAGGAAATGCTAGTTTGTGAACAGTTCAGTTGTTGATCAGGAAATTCCTGTACTGTATCTCAAATCTTTTAGTTATTAAGTCTTAGAAATCATTCCAGAACAAAACAGATGGCTGAATTGCATTTGCCCAAGCTTTAAATGAGTTTCAGTAGGGTTCCTCACAAAAGGCTAGTCTGAAACTGTATAACTTAGGAGGCATAAAGGGCAAACTGTTGTAGTAGATGTCATTGAAGGTAAAATGTTTTCATGCTATGTCGTTAGTAGGATGCTATAAGTATCAGTTCTTGCTCAGTGTTGTAATCTACATATACAGAAGGAATTGAGTATGAACATGTTTGCAGTTGAGGTGGTTTGGTCATTGAGAGAGGATGGAACAAAGTAAAATGACTTGGAAAGCATATAAATTTTAGTGACCCCCTACCCTGCCTTCCTTCCACTAAGAAAGGGAGGGAGGGGGGTAGAGGAGGTTGTGTGTGCAAGGGGCTTGAACTTCCAGGAAGCACACATGAGTGTGTTAGGAGTGAATGGAGAAGAGTGGTTTTTGGGACCCGATGAGTTGTTGGAGTGTGAGCAGGGTAATATTTTGTGAAGGGATTCAGGAAAACTGGTTAGCCGGTCTTTAGAGTCCTGGAGATGGGAAAGTACAATGCCTGCACTTTAACCCTTTGAGGGTTTCGGCCGTACTAGTACGGCTAAATTCTAGCGCCCTCAAATCTAGTGGGAGAAAGCTGGTAGGCATATATATGAAAGAATGGGTCTATGTGGTCAGTGTGCGCAGTATAAAAAAAAATCCTGCAGCACAGTGCATAATGAGAAAAAAAAACTTTGACCGTGTTTTTGGAATAAAACAGCGACTTTGCACTGTATTTTCGTATGGTATTTATTGTTGTATTCTAGTTTTCTTGGTCTCATTTTATAGAATGGAAGACATATTACAGAAATTGAGATGATTTTGACTGGTTTTACAGTGAAAAGTACCTTGAAATTGAGCTCAAAGTAGCAGAAATGTTCGATTTTTACCAAAGTTCAAAAGTAAACAAATCATGCCAAGCATCCCATACACGTCAACTGGTGAGCCTAATATTCTTTCACAAGTGTGCGGATATTTATACCATTTCTACACTAATGCAGCAGTCTGCAAAACAGTAAATCTTCTAATTTTTTATAAGAATAAAAATTGAAAGTGGAAAGCCAAAGAAATGTAAGAGGGGCCTGGGGATGTGACTAACGAACAGAGGAAATGTTATTCTGGACCCTATTTGGAAATTGGCATCTTTTGAAATTTGTGTGAAATTGGCAAAATTACTAAATTCTGACCACTGTATTGGATAGTTGAAATCAGTAAATGGGTGGTTTCTTGTACTCATTCAATAGAAAAAATGGAGTTCTAGAGAAAGTTATGATTTTTGTCGACTAGTACACTGGAATTGGCCGAAAATAGGGCTCAAAGTGGGCAAAATCGCCGATGCGTAAACATTGTCGAGACCGCTAACTTCGCCAGAGCATAATTCCGTAAGTTTTCCATCAAATTTCATACTTTTGGTGTCATTATGATTGGAAAAAGATTCTCTATCTTTTCATAAGAAAAAAATAATTTTTTTTTTTTTTAAATTTGGCCGACCCTGAGAACAAGTCTCGGAGAGGGCCTGTCGACCCTCAAGAGGGTTAAAGGAGGGGTTTGGGATGACATCTGAACTGTCATATCTCAGTGCCTCTGCAAAGACAGTGATTATGTATGAATGATGAAAATTGTTCTGACTAAATACCAAATCAGGAACTTAGTTCTGCTCCTGTAGCTACAAATTGGTAATCTCTCTCACACTGCAAACTAAAAAAAAAAGATATTGCTATTTCACATCAGTGGATCAAGTTTAGTGGAACCAAGAGCTAGTGCTCACTTCCCACACTCAAAAAGTAATTACACACAATTGTATAATTCTAAGCATGTTTGTTAGCTATTGTTTCTATCTATTGGACTGCTCTAGCTATCAACAAGCACAGAGAATTTTCTTCAGGCATCCACCACCCCTCTTAACACCCTTACTTGATCTTCCCTCCTCGCTGACAGCCCCACCTTTGACACACACTCCCTCTTTGACTGCAACCGATTTATTACCCAAACTTTGATACTTCCTTTAGCACTCCTCATGACCCTTTCTAACTCTACCTCTGTTATCCTCTCCACCGGAAATATACACACACATGCAGTATAATGTGATCCTTTATTGACTACGTTTCGCCCACACAGTGGGTTTTTTCAAGTCACAAACAGATCTACCTGGGGTGGAAGGGACGCGAGTATTTATAGTCAGGTTCAGAATGCTGAGGTCAGGTGGAGAATGCTGCATCTGATGATGTACCGAGTGGGGTTATAGAGTCTAAAATCTTGGGTAGCTTGGAAATGAGATTGGATAAGTTTGTGAGCAGACCTTCTACAGTGTTCTTCCATTCCTGTGTTCTTATGTGGGATAGCGATGAAGAAGTTTCTTGGCAAGTGGTTCAGCTATGTTATAGAAGCCACTATTCTGGTTGAAGTTGTCGGATATAGAAATAAGTGATGATTCCAGGATTCTTCGGTATTGAGTGTTGTCTTCTGTGGCGATAAATCTCGAGTTTCTGTAGTTTATCAAGTGGTTGTGTGAATTACGGTGTTGTACACAGGCATTCCTTGTGTCGTCAGACCTGCTTGCGTATTGGTGTTCTGAAATACGTGTTTGGAGGTCCCTTGATGTTTCGCCCACGTATAACTTGTTGCAGTCATTACAAGGGATTATGTATACCCCTGCAGAGGGTTGAAGCTTGTCCTGTCTATCACTGGTAATGTCCTTGATGGTCGTGGTTGTGGAGGTAGATACTTGGAATGAGGTATTGGAAAAGATGTTGGAAACGTGTTTGGCAATGGAGTTGGTGGGGAGGACTATGTATCTCTTCTCGGCAGTGTCTTCTCTGGGTGTGTTGAAGATGTTTAATGCCCGACGTCTGCAGTCTCTGATGAAGTGATGAGGATAGTGGAGTAATTATAGGCTTCTTCCTGCATGCACTCAGAATCTGCAGCAATGAGTTTCTTGAAGAAGAATGCACGATAATTGAACAAGTATTTTCTAAACTCCACTATCCTCGTCACTTCATCAGAGACTGCAGACGTCGGGCATTAAACATCTTCAACACACCCAGAGAAGACACTGCCGAGAAGAGATACATAGTCCTCCCCACCAACTCCATTGCCAAACACGTTTCCAACATCTTTTCCAATACCTCATTCCAAGTATCTACCTCCACAACCACGACCATCAAGGACATTACCAGTGATAGACAGGACAAGCTTCAACCCTCTGCAGGGGTATACATAATCCCTTGTAATGACTGCAACAAGTTATACGTGGGCGAAACATCAAGGGACCTCCAAACACGTATTTCAGAACACCAATACGCAAGCAGGTCTGACGACACAAGGAATGCCTGTGTACAACACCGTAATTCACACAACCACTTGATAAACTACAGAAACTCAAGACTTATTGCCACAGAAGACAACACTCAATACCGAAGAATCCTGGAATCATCACTTATTTCTATATCCGACAACTTCAACCAGAATAGTGGCTTCTATAACATAGCTGAACCACTTGCCAAGAAACTTCTTCATCGCTATCCCACATAAGAACACAGGAATGGAAGAACACTGTAGAAGGTCTGCTCACAAACTTATCCAATCTCATTTCCAAGCTACCCAAGATTTTAGTCTCTATAACCCCACTCAGTACATCATCAGATGCAGCATTCTCCACCTGACCTCAGCATTCTGAACCTGACTATAAATACTCGTGTCCCTTCCACCCCAGGTAGATCTGTTTGTGACTTGAAAAAGCCCACTGTGTGGGCAAAACGTAGTCAATAAAGGATCACATTATACTGAATATGTGTTTGTTTCCATTGTGTCGGTATTTTATACCATCCTCTCCACCATTGCTATTCTGTTATCCAGCAACACCCCGTGCCCTGCAGTGCTGTATGACCCTAGTGGGTTTAGTGCTTTTTTTGGTTATAATAATAATGGAAACATTATTATAATCAAAACTGAATGTTCAACCACTTTGTTTCCAGATGGCATTCCTCTAATACAGCGATTTCAAATTATGACCAACACTCTATATGGCTCCCTGTCTTTCTAATATGGCGTGCACCACCCGGTTTGTTTACATTCTCCATGAACACTGCATGTCTCCATTATGTTTAAAACACTTGAAATTTTGGAAAGTTTCCAAAGTTATTTTATGTATATACAGTAGACCATTTAACACAGTAGTTACATTCCTGAAAATGTCATGTTAGGTAAAACAGTGTTAGATGAACTGAAAATATATAGGAAAACTAGGGTTACATTCCTAGGAGCCCCCAAAAAGCCAAGCAATTTTTTTTAGACCAACAGATCTTACAAAGATAAGTGAATATGTAATTGTAGTTCATTGTCGTGATGTATTAGGTCGTTTTCACTGCTTAAGATTACAAGTGCAACAGAAATAATAGTATTTCTTACCTTAAATTGTGGGTGCTGGTGTTTGTGAATGACTGTGGAGTTATGCTGTGGCCCTACGGGCTGAGGTGGATGGTAGAAGTTCTGGTACTGAAGTCGATGGTTGTCCTCAGTGTGCATAAATTCTGTAATGGATTTCTGTTCTGTTTTACCCAGCAGTACATTATACAACTGACAGTAAGGCATCAGCTGCTCTAGACACCATTTCAGGGTCCTCTTCAGTGAAAAAGTAAACTAAGTCAGTCAGTAAATCAGTCAAGTCAGTCATCACACAAACTCATATTTACCTGTAAAGTAAAAGGACACAAGTGCAACTAATGTGACATTTATTGTGGCAACGTTTCGCTCTCCAGGAGCTTTATCAAGCCATTACAAACAATACATGGACACAGAGGGTATATAAAGGCTCAGAGTGAGGTGAATACTAGTGAGGTACCATTTCGATGTTCACTAGTGGTAGTAGTAGTAGTAGTAGTAGAAGTAGAAGTAGTAGTGGTAGTAGTAGAAGTAGTAAGTAGTATGTAGGTAGACAAAAGTAATACAATATGGTAGAGCATATTAAATTCGTACATGAGTAAAAGTATATAAAAGCTATTACTTGGGTAACAATAAAATAGGTTGTGACAAATATAAACTGGAATGAGTGCAGCTTGTTTCAGTGTTCACTCTCTGGTGCTTTGTGTAGTATAAACAGGAGAGACTATGTGATGGCAGGGTTTACTGTTTTCAGGAGGATTCTTGCTAAAGACTTCGGAGATGGGAAGCTGCCGTTGTTTTGTTTAATTGTATTCGAAACAGCGATCAGTGCTGATTCGAGGCACTTGCGTCTGCGGAAATTAGTTTCTTTGATCACTAATTGGGCGTCTCTAAATTTCATGAGATGATTGGTGGAATTTCGGTGTTGTACACAGGCGTTGTTCAGGTTATCGTTCCTACATGCGTAAATGTGTTCATTGAGGCGGGTGTCGAGGTTTCTGGCTGTTTCACCTACGTAAATCTTGTCACAGCCTCCACAGGGTATAGTGTAAACTCCTGCATTGACTGGTTCGTGGTGCTTGGATTTTTTGCATGTAGGAACGATAACCTGAACAACGCCTGTGTACAACACCGAAATTCCACCAATCATCTCATGAAATTTAGAGACGCCCAATTAGTGATCAAAGAAACTAATTTCCGCAGACGCAAGTGCCTCGAATCAGCACTGATCGCTGTTTCGAATACAATTAAACAAAACAACGGCAGCTTCACCATCTCCGAAGTCTTAGCAAGAATCCTCCTGAAAACAGTAAACCCTGCCATCACATAGTCTCTCCTGTTATACTACACAAAGCACAGAGAGTGAACACTGAAACAAGCTGCCTCATTCCAGTTTATATTTGTCCAACCTATTTTTATGTTACCCAAGTAATAGCTTTTATATCCTTTTACTCATGTACGAATTAATTGCTCTACCATATTGTATTACTTTTGTCACTACTACTACTACTACTACTACCACTAGTGAACATCGAAATGGTATCTCACTAGTATTCACCTCACTCTGAGCCTTTATATACCCTCTGTGTCCATGTATTGTTTGTAATGGCTTGATAAAGCTCCTGGAGAGCGAAACGTTGCCACAATAAATGTCACATTAGTTGCACTTGTGTCCTTTTACTTTACATATTGTCGGTAATTCTACCAACCTCATATTTACCTTATTCTCATATGCTGACCTACAAGGTGGCAGCTTGAGCCGAGGGAATTTTTTCCGCATCCACAAACGGAACCGTGTAAAGTTAATTTTTCGAAGTGTTGTATAAAATCGTGCTGCAATTTTTCAATCGTGCTATAACCAAATCATGCCAAATAAACTTGTGTACCTGTACCTAAGTAAACTTACACATTGTGCTGGCATGCAGGTACACATTAAAATTACCGTGTCTTAATCATTATTAATATGGCATCTTTAAGATTAATAACAATAATCACTGAGGTGCATTAAATGTCATAAAACATTAATATAGACATTGTGCTTAATCGCTCCGATATTTTTTTCAAAATTATATAAACACGCTGTGGAACATATGAACATGATAAATATACACACAGTAGAAATTAACATCAATACGAGACGTTTTTTCTAGTCGCCTTGCCAGAGTGAACTACAACCATACATGTTTGGGTGGTTTGTTTACAAAACTCGCGTCTGTCCTCTCTCACGTACTCTCTCTTGTTTATTCGTTTACTCACCTCTCACCCTACACTAAGACTACAAATATTTTAAGGTAAGTAATGAGAGTACTGTATATGTATTTTATTGCTTTGGGGCACTTTAAATGCCTAGTATATGTGTGGGTGGGGTGGCCAGATGGGGTTACGATATCTACAACACTATTCAATACTTGCCTACCCTATTATTCACCTTGCACCCTATATTAAGACCTTTAAAAGTACAAATATTTTAAGGTAATGAGTGTACACTATATGCATTTTATCACTCTAGGGCTCTTTCAATATCAAAGTATATTACGTGCGGGTGGGGTGGGGTAGCCAGGCTGGCTACCATATCTACCACACCTAACTTCTTACAATAAACGCTATTCACCCTACATTAACTACTAATATTTTGAAGTAAATAATGCGTGTACTGTGTGCGTATTTTACTTTTTATTGGTTTTTAATGCCTGTTCTATACACTAACATATATTAAGTTAGTAAAACTTATTATCTGACATTTACAAGTGGCGTTCTGCTTTCTGGCAGTAGCCTGGAACCTAACCTGGCATATAAGTGGGGCCCTACTGTACATCCTTAAATTAAGCAAGTTACCAAATAAATTTAGTTGATTTTTTTTGCATGTTAGAAAGCACTGATAAATACTTAACCAATATTTTTAGATGTAGTGTAGTAAACAAATGTATATTCATGAAATATATTTTTTTTCCATAACAGGAAGAAGGGTGGCTTACTGGGATAAAAGAGGGCACCATGGAGAAAGGACTCTTCCCAGCCAACTTCACTCGCCCCATCTAAGGCTTTCGTATTCTCCTCGAAATACTCGTGAAATGAACATCTTATTCTAAAACCCCACTTAGGGTAAGCTTGTCTGAAGATACTTTACTGGGAGGGCAGCAAACCTCAAATTTGGGTTGATCAGTAGCAAGATACTGGTTCAAATGCAGGTATGCAAGGTCAAGGAAGCTAATGTGTTATATCTATAAGACTAGAGCCAATAACATGGAATAACAATTTTGTTTAACAATGCCAAATTGTGCACATTTCTTCATATATCGATTTGAAAAACTTTAAGTCGGTGATCTTTAGAGGTTTGTGCTGTGAAATTTTTTACCCTTACACCTATGTCATTTACTCTACACCGTAGTGTAAATTATGATCATAAATCGTACTGTATGTATTAATGTTCTACAGTAGATAATTGCTCAGAGTATTTCTCGAATTATTAATTGAAGACTCGTCTGACAAAAAAAAAAAAAAAACTTCAGTGTGCTAAAGATGCAATGGAAGCTGTGTGATGTGCCATTAGCCCACTGTTGTAGATATTGCAACCTTCACTTTCTATATGTACTTTCCCTAGTTTTACCATTTCTATTGATTAGTTTAATACCAAGGCAGGTTAATTGATTGACGAGTAACCCTAAAAATGCAGCTAATGTTTAAGGAAACTGAAGTCCACCTGGTAGCTTGGGTTAATTATGAAGGATGATGAATTTCTTTACACAGGTGTGCATGGATTAAGTTAATGACCAGTGCTTACTTTATTTATTGATTTGAATTATTATTAAGGTACTTGTTGTGTTTGTGAATGTTTATTAAATGATCTGATATCTAAATACTTTAAGCTATGTAGCATTGTGTGCAACTGGAAAGTGTAATTGGTATAAGTAATGTTTTTTTTATATTGCCTGAGTGGAGCACCCTGTTTGTACCTTCTTAATTATGCACTAGTTAAAATTTTGTAGGTTTGCCTGTCTTGTACCATCATGAATACATTAGTGCCTGCTGATACTAAAAGCTTTTTGAAGTCCATAAACTGTAGCTATTTAAATTTATTCAGTGTATAATAAATCAAACTAAAAGGAAAGTGCCTTCAGGTTATGAAATACAACTTCAAAGCTAAGTTGCTAGTTTTGTAATGTTCACTATCATGTATTGTAAGCCCACCACATTACCAAGCATGCTCTCTAGTTGCTACAATATTCTATACAAATCGATCAGTTTCTAGTTCACTTCATCTCTCACCACCCTTTTGCTGGACTGTAATATTGGAGTGGTACACTGTGTGTAAATACTTGTGGCTAAGAAGAGACCTCTGTAAATAGTTTCCAAATGTAAATAAAAATTTGAGATGGAGTATGTTATATGTAAAGATGAAGGTCTCTCAAGTATGTATATAATATGGAAAAATAATCCAACATGCATTGGAAGATCTGATTGTTATTTACTCACAGAATTAATGAATTTGAAGGCAAAATGTTCCCAAGCTGCTTAGCAATTTTATGCTCTAAATCATTATATGTATTATACACTACCAGTAGTTTTGTATGAAAAAAAAGAGTTCCAATAATAGGACAGACAAATGTGCCATGAACCCACGAAGTTACTTAATTAGTTACTAATAATGATGTAAGTGTATGTAGTATGTGTTGACCTGCTGATTTCAACAGGTGTTACCCCAAATTATACAATTTTGCTCACCCTTGATGCCTTTGTTTTTAATTGAGCTTTAGGTCAAATGAATGTTCCAATCATGAAATTTTTGACTAAAAATAAGGTGCCTTTTACTGAATAACTGGACAGGGCCTGTGCCTTAGCTGGATAATTTAAGGATGTTCTACTAATGAATGATGCCATTGTATGTGGGTATTAGTTTCATTCTGAGTTATTGTAAACTTTCCAAGTAATTAAACATTGACAACCCCCCCCCCCCCTCCTCTGTTTAATAACATTATCCTCCGTCTACTTAAAGACTTGCAGTCTGCTTCTCAAGAAAAAGACTAAGACCCTTTTATAAAGTAGACTTGTTTGATGAGACATGAGCATGTGTGGTTTACAGTCTGCAACAACAGTTTTATGCAGTTCTGTGCCTTGTTTTAGTGCGAGTTGGGCTAAATTTGTTTTGCCCAAGCCAATCAGTGTTGAGCTACTTTTGTAATAAGCAGTGACATAGGAGGATAGATTACATGTAATACATCCAGCATCATCAGTAATATGTTGCCCCATATTGCTATTTTGACTCAGACACCAGAACAACCAAGCACATACTCATAATATATTAACATCAGTGCTAATAAACAATATGAATGAGTGATCTGTTTTATTTTCCTTAATATGTACTGCGACTAATGTTTGATATACATTATAAACAATCCTTTTTTTAAAGTACATTTTTATTTTCCTTATGTGCATTTTTTCATATCTAGTCCCACCCATGTCTAAGAAAGAAATGGAATGAGCTACATGAACGTATTATAACTTGTACTGTTTTAATAGTTAACCAACAATAACAAAATATATCCAACTTCAGAAATAATTATGAACAGTAGATAAGGCACATCCAATAAACTAGCCAATATAAGCACACTTTACTAATTCACTCAAGGGAGGTAGGTTCCTTGATGCTGATGAGGGGCTCTTGATCCAATTACTTTTCCTCAATTACTTCCCCCCCCCCCCCAAAAAAAAAAAAAAAAAAAAAAAAAAATTTAGTGGTCAAAGTGCCTGGGAAATGGGTGGCAATCATATTCTTTGGAACAAGAGTCCCTCACTAGCATAAAAAAAAAAACCTTCCTTGAGGGGCTCCTAAATACAATAGTCAAAGCACATTGTCCACAAATTTAAACCACTTATATAATTACACATTAAACAATTGGTACACATTGATATTCATCTCTACAAAAATGAGCAATTTATTATGCATATATGGGTACACAATTAGGCAAACCTTCGAGGTATATATCTTGAAAATGGCATGGCTTGCTTGTACCCAAAAAGCTGCTACACCTGACTTTGCCACTGTTAATTTACATATTGCATCACAGACAGGATGTTACACAAAACAAATACAAAAGACTAAGGTAACAACTGCACCTGTTTGTTCCGAGGGTAGCTCAGAATTTCGAAGTCTATCCAGAGTCATTTTCTCCAGCCACTTTGCAAGACTTATCATTTCTGCTCTATATACAAATGTTATGCAGCATTATATATCAAAAAAAAAATTTTGTATTTAAAATTCATTTATCATTGATTTTGCATGCTGAAATTTACACATTTTTACTTACAACTTAAATATGAAAGTAATGTATTAGAGTCAACATTAAATGCTTCGACTTTTCCTTAATTTTAACCTTTGGCATTAATATATCTAATCTACTCAATGTTTTCATTATTATGATCAGGGGATGCACTAAACCTGTAGGGGAAGGGGGCATACACTACCTTGGGAATGGAGGAAATTAGGCTTAGAGAATGTCTAGCTCCTTGAATCATGAGCCTCTCACCAGCATCAAGGCACCTCCATGGAGGGGCTTCCCATTCTGCAGTAACAGCATTAGTAATATGTGCTCTAATACAAGCTCCACCAACTTTTAATTTTTTAAAATTGCAGTAGGATTTCAAATATCCAACACAGATGTGACACAAACTACTCCGACTCATGAAAATGTCCAAACATAGAACTAATTTACCTTCATAATAATACAAATCTAACAAAGTATTAAATTTGAGACAGTACTTTCCAATGCTATGCTCGCTTAATTCCCCCTCCCCCAAAATGCTGTCATGTCTTTCAAATGAATCTACATCAGCCAACACTTTTTTACCACTTACCACTTTTAAAACTCTACTGATGCATCAAATTTAAGCTTGGATGAAAACTTTCTTTGCTTTACCACTACTGATAATTTTTGAATAGAGCTTATACAATTTATCTTGAAGTGACTTGTAAACTGTACAAGACATTTTGAAGTGACTACCATGCACAACTAATGCACCAAGAAATGGGAGCTCTACTGTATACTTGAATTTTTTATTACAAGTTTCAGATACAGTAAATCCTTTCATAATGCGAGGGATGTGTTCCTGATTGGCAACTGAAGGAAACTAGCGGCATGTGAAATGAAGGACAGAAGGGCAAAATAGATCTGCATTCTAAAGGCTTAAAATTTGCCAAACTTACCAGGTACATTATAGTAGTAGTTTGAAGTTTGTGGAGAGGGTTGTGGTCCTAGTGGCTAAGGTGGATGGCTGTGGACCAGAATTGTCAGTAGATGATGGTTGTACTCGAGTGCTCACAAACTGTATTATTTATCTCTGATCTATTTTGCCCTGCAGTAATGACCTTGACATTCTTTTCACTAGGTCACAGCATACACTACCCATTGCACAAGCTCTTATTTTCTTCTCAATCTCTCTTATTGTATGGACAATGGACTCTCTCAGATTAAAAAGACACTCTGCACAATGTGTACCTCAAACCATGTCTATTCCATCAGTTTCATGTTTATTCTTCATGGCACCTACAGCATTACTAGTATTCATATTGGGTGCCATAGTTAATATCTAAGATGAGACAGGGTAACCAAAGGATCCAAAATCTTTTTAGTAAGCAACCATAAGAAGTGTATGGCAGTGGGGAATGGAAGGAGCAGTGCGTTTCCAAACGTTTGACCCACCCAACTTGGGGCAGCCATACGTGTGAGGCATACTATCAAGGTTTTAGTAAGTGCTATGAAGTAAAATGCATTTTTCCCAATTACACTTGGGCAAAATTGTACTATACAGTGTCACTTTGCAAGATTGCATAGTGTAAACAGTATTAAATATGAAGACATGAACTACCTGTATCAGCTTCACACTTATGATCACAAGATCATCTCACTTCTGGTACACTTACCTATTTGGTCTCCAAGCTTAATCATTTATTTACCACATTTATAACTATTATGCAGATAAATATAATAGTTTTAATCCTTTTTCCTAAGTTTTCTACCCTGCAATCTGCAAATATTCATGTACAGCATGATTTTTTTCGTCTCACTATATTACCATCTGGAGTAGAACAACTACAAACATCAGAATATTTTTAGGTGGTCTAATGAGATTGTCCCCTCAAGGGAGGTGCCTAGATTCCAGCAAGGGCCTCTTGATCCAGGGCACTGGACAAATTCTCCCTTTCCTTGGATCGAATCTGATTGCCTCCCATTCCCCCCAGGCACTAGCATTGCAATGGGTTTAGTGTTCCCACCTGAAATTAATAATACTGATACTGTAATTTCATATCTCAACATTGTAAATAGTATCCACTTACATAACTTATTATTTAGCAAAACGTTAACAAAATATTAACCACAACTTTAAAATTATCTGCTTGGTGTATTTCAACAATAATAGCCACTTTACATGATAGCTACCACACTAATGACATAATCCACACAAATCCCACCAAGTTTATTTGTTCAATCAAACCAACTCATTTTAAATTTTATCTTTAGTATTTCGACCCTATTTGCTTGTAAGATTTCTGACAACTTGCCTGATAAAACCAGAACAGTGGATGGACCTCATCACATTTTCACATATGTAAACCCACATGAACAGTTAACACAAGACTCAGAACTTACCTGATATTATTTTTTATCAGTTATATCTAAGTATGATTTAACCCACAATGTAATTTGCTGTTACCACTATCAAACAACTTTTTAATTTAAGTTCAGAAATTAATCAACTGAGATTCATTCTATGCACCCGAGATGGAGATTCCTCAGAATACATAAATCATTCATACTAGATGATTCTAAATGCACCTACAGCAGGGATGTTTTTAGCAGGTAGTTTTTTTTATTTCCCCTCTCCATAGAACCATCCCTCAGTTAAAATTGGGTATAAGTTTTCTTAAAGTTCTATCACTAAGGTTTACACATGCATTACATGGAAGCTACATGATACAATCAGAGTAATATGACTGTATTTTGGCAGGTACTTTGTATAGTATCAGCTAACTGATAAAATATTAACTTTTACTGCTTTTCCCCCATGATAAAATCAATCTCCTAGAGATGATTTATATACCCCTTTGCATTTAAATAAAAGTTCAAACATCTTGGCAATTAAGAGCACCTCAGAAGAGGCACCTGCACCTGGAAAATCTGGAGTTGGACTATTCCACTCTGTAGGAGAAAAAAAAAAAAATGTATGCAGTATAGCATTCCCACCACAGTCAATAAAGTATTTAACAGCACTAAGCAACCATACATGCTATCTTTATTACTATCGATAAGCACTAACATCACACTGCAATACATAACTGTACCACAGATAGGTAATTAAAGGCTACCAATAACACACTCCATTCATCACCATTAATAAAGGCATTACATTGCAGTTATTTACTCAATGCTTTACTGGTCCCATCACAAGGTAGCATACTTCAAATTTTAGTGAAGCCCTACAGAATAAATTTCAGACTGATATTCTGAGCCAACTCTCAAAACTTGAGATAAGCTTGTCAGAAAACATCACCTACCATTTATTGTTTAACTATCAACATGTTAACTTCAAAGCAATATCTTTATCCTCAACAACCTCCTCCTTTGTGAGAAACTTCCCTTGTTGGAGCATATTGGCATACTTAGCCACAGCTGGGTCTTTGCCTAAGCTGGCCAGGGCCACCACACGGTCCCCTCGGCAGTAGTAAGCTATAAAGGACAGGTTTTCCAGGTCTCCTCCAATGATGACATCATCATATATCCCATAACCTAGAATTATAAATGCATACTGTAATGCTAAAATATTATGTAACTGAAAAATTAAATGCAATTAAAAATTCTGCAAATTCAAGTTGAACAATGATATTTTTGGAATGTTTACCAAATATCATGCAAATTGTATAAATTTTAACCTTGGGTCCTCCTCACAGTGGAGTTTGAAAGAACAAACAGGAAAATCTGAATTCTTTTCAATTCTGACAAAAGAAAAGATGAATTCAATATGGGTTAGCAGAATTGGGCCATTCCACCATGGCAAATTTAACTGTAAATGAAATGAGACATAACTAAAACAAATGCCAAGTATGTATATGATACATTCTTACACAAACAAATCCTTTAAGTTAAAATTAATAGTTCTGAGCAAGTAGCTGATGTTTCACCAGACTCCTGAAGTAATTATCTATAAGTGATTTGGTGCATTCAGCTTAAATGGAGAATTAGAATATGCTATACTACTTTTTAATACATTGGCCATCTCCCACTAAGGATAAATTCATCATCACTCATTCAATAGCTCTCTTACCAGAGATACACAGACAGCACAATTAAAATGGCCATCTGAACTGCAATACCACACTCCATTCCCTTTCAGAGTTGTAGGTGCAATATATCCCACCTCTAGGACAAGTCCAGCTTATCGTTTTTTCCTGAATCCCTTCATAAATGTTACCTTGCTCACACTCCAGCACTACTTCAAGCCTTAAAAGCCCACTTATCTCCACTCATTTTGATGTAACACACTGGTACATGTCTGCTGGATGCTCAAGCCCCTAGCACTTGACCACCACCTTTACTCTCCCTTCAACCTTTTCTGGGATGACCCCTATGCTTCCTTTCTTCCACTAAGGATTTCTACACACACTGTCATGTTATTCAGCTTTATACTATCTATATGCCTATACCTTCAAAACCCCTCTTCAGCTCTCTGAATTAAACCTTTGGTAACCCCACACATTTTATAATTTATACTCTCCAAATTTTCTGCATAATATTCACCCCACTCATTGCTTTCATATATAACACCTCTACTGCTTCCAGTTCTGTCATTGCTGCAATATTTAAAGGCCATGCCTAACACCTAAGTGTTGGTACTGCTATACTCTGGTGCATATTCGCTTTTGCCTCAACAGATAAACTTTCTACAGTTTAGTTCATCTTTTAACACACCCATCTAATGAAATATCCACTCACAAATACCTAAATGCATTCACTTCCTCCATATGCACTCCCTCCAATTTGGTATCTAATCTTTCATGGCCAAGATATTTTGGTACTCTCAACACATTGCACTTTACTATATAATTTCCTCCTTTTATGTACTTTCCTAAATTCCTCAACCAAATTTTGCAATTTCTCTTCACAATCTTCTAAAAGAAGTGTTCATGGCAAAAAACAACTCTCACTCTGCATCAAATTTATTATTTTTTAATACCACAACTCTTCCCAACACTTCAGCATTCATTTCTTTTACATTCCCATTTATAAACAGTGGTTTCTTGAGTTACGATATTAATCTGTTCCAGATGTATCGTACCTCCAAATTATCAAAACTCAAATTCCAAAATACATGGTTTTATGGTAATTTGTTCCAAGACTCTGGAGGTGCATCTTTTACTGTACCTTGCATACTGTCAGATATAATTTGTATGCACTATCTCCCTCATCTGCTTCTCTTTTATCCAGTCTCTCCATCTCTATGATAATTTCTCTGCCTTTTTTCACTAGCTTAGATTCAGTCACTTTAACAATAATAAAATTAGTAAAATAATAATATAATAATTAATAATGCTAGGATCAAACCTGATTATCTCCCATTCCCCCTGATGCTGTACAACCTCTTATAATGTACATATAAGATAATCTACATGGGGAAGTGGAGAAGAATGCTTCCTCCATGAGCCATGTGTAGCATAAGAGGTGACTTAAAATGCCAGGAGCAAGGGATCAAGTAATTTCTTTTTAGGTCACGCTGCCTCGGTGAGATATGGCTGGTTCATTGAAAAATAAAAAAATTAACAGTATAATAATATAATTTATTTCTTTGTGCCATAAAAATAATGTAGTTTAAATGAATTAATAAAATAGTAGGCACAAAAAAATCTACTAATTATGCAATGCATTTCAGGCAATTAATCAAAGCTTAAATGTTAACTACAATCATACATACAATAAGAAAGGTAGTTAATGACGAAAGGCCAATTACAAAAGAATAACATCATTTAAACTGATTCAATGATCTACCATTCTGCAGAGTGACTGAATGAAGATGGTAAGATACAGCAAGTTACTTAGATTATAATACAAATAATATGGGACAAGATATGTTACCAATTATGCATGGGTACTGAAGAAAGGCTGCAAGAATAGGGACAGAATTGGATGAAAGCTGGTTTTGTGTGACATGGTATATTGCTGTCTTGATTATGTTAAGGGGACTAGGTGCTTTTTAATAATAGATCTGAATCAATTAGCATATAGAGGACCTGTTGATGCTTCAGGCAGGGAGTTCCAGGCCTTTTATGCACATTTAGTTCTTTATTATTTCTATTTGCTTGATAATAACAGAGATGGTCATTTGTGGAAAGCCATACTCACACACCAGTGCACTAATTTCTCACCTATCTTCAGAGAAATGGCCTATTAATTGTGCACTTCAGGGGCCACAATGACTTGTTAATGCAACAGATAGTATAAACATAACAAATGCAGTTATGAAGGGTAAAAATGAACATTAGTTTGAAAACACCCACAATACCTTCAAACTGAAGAGTAAACAAATTGTAATACAGTACAAACTCTACTACTGGCCGAGACACTACCATACAGACATTCAACTCCATTACCGATTAGCTGCCAAGCCACCCTCGCAGATCTTCACTCTTATTGGCTCAGATGATGCCGAAGAGGCAAGCTATCAGATTCCTGGTTGGCTAAGGCCTACCCACACAAGAACTGACACTTCTATAAGCTTAAATGTTGCCAAAGAGGCAAGCTACCACATCACTGATTGGCTGACGACCACCCACATGCATCAATAATAATACAGGAAGTCCTCAACTTACACATTGGAGACCTCCTGAATACATAATACAGGAAGCATTCAACTTATGAACATGTTGGCAACCTTCTGTATTGTGTATAATAATGATATATACAATAAAGATGGATCTTCCACTTTCTCATCAATCGAACACAAATAGTAGTAGTAGTAGTAGTAGTAGTAGTAGTAGTAGTAAACAAAGTCAGAAGTTGCATCAGTGAAAAACTATTCCACAAGGCATAGTACTTGCCCCCATCCTGGCTCAAATGAAACATAAGTAATAGTGTGTGGTAAAGCCTGAGGGAATTTAATAAAACTTATACATACAACAATTTAACAGAAGACAGAACACTATGAGCATAAACTGTATTCCTTTAACTACACATCCTTTAGGAGCAAAAATTACAAACTTTTTTAAAAACAAAGGAGTATGAGGTAGAAACAGCAAGACTATGTACTAACCAATATTTACTGAACAAGAATTTTCTGAAATACCTGTGTAGCGAAGACTTTTTCCAAACAAGACAGTCCAAAAGAAAGGCACAGATCTAACTGCAGAGTTCTGGTCCAACATATTAAGAGCAGCAGTGCGACCATGGCCAAGTGCTACCTGCCAGTGACTAATAGTCACACTGGCACCATCTTCAGTGAAGAGTGGGAAAGAAGCAATGTCTCCACCGCAGAACACTCCTGGTACACTGGTCTCTAAATACTGGGAAAAAAAATAAACTTACAATTAATAAATGAATGAGTCAGATAATACTGAGTAGTAGAAACAACAAATATGCTTGTTATTCAGTTGTATACAACTTTTTGTAAATTAAATTGATATGGATTATATTTACAAACATTTGTTACTGATTACTTGCAAAGTTACAGTGCTAATAGGGGCCAAATTTTCATATAAAAAAAGTATTTTTTTACCTGGGGTTTACACACAAATTATTCTGCACAACTTATTTTAAAACCTTTATCACCAAAACAAATTTGCCAATACAAATTTCCACAGCACACACACATTAAAATCAGGCAATAGTTAAAAAATGACAAAGTATCCAATAAATAGAAATAAAATCTTAGGCTATGAGATGCCAAATGACTAAAACATTAGGAAAATAATCATCTACCTGGAGGGTGCTACAGGGGCCAATGCCCCCACGGCCTGGCCCATGACCAGGCCTCGTGGTGGATCAGAGCCTGATCAACCAGGGCGTTACTGCTAGCCACACAAACCGACATATGAACCACAGCCCAGCTGATCATGTACTGACTTAGGTGCCCATCCAACTCCCTCCTGAAGGCAGCTAGGGGTCTGTTGGTAATTCCCCTTATCTATGCTGGGAGGCAGTTAATATTTATTGTGCTTACTGTACTTAACTTCATAATAAGTGCATGATGTAGCATGTATTAGTATGCACAATATTTCTAAGCCTCAAATTTACCATACACTACCATTTTATGCTTCAACTGTATTGTTTGGATAAAATTCAGGCTGTATGGGTACACACAGGGCACTGTGGGTAATATAACCCGGTAAACATAGGCTCACAGTTGCTGGCCAACACACCGACCTTTCTTGCAGAGAAAACAGGAAAATACTGCTTAATTCAGACACCAGTGAGATTGAGAAGGGTGATAATGTAGGATCATTTTCTGATTTTGAAAAGGACAGCAATGGTGGTACAACCAGGAATGAAATATGTTCCAATTTAACCCAAGATAGAGCACTGCCATCCACCTCTGTTCTTGCCACACAACAAAGTATGTAGATGGCAATGAGTCTTTACCCCTGAACTGGAAAGTGACTGGAGTGACGTAGATGACGACGGTGGAAAGAAATGCATGTATTAGGAGAGTGCTGAATCAAGTAATAGTGATGCAGAATATCTGCCCAAAAATGAACACTGGAGCAGCATCACACTATGGCTGCCTCTCACTCGTGTGCTGTGTCACTGTTCTATGGTAACACATCTAGACAAAATGATACTGCTGCAGGACAGTGATAGTGATTGACACTGATGGCACTTTCACTGGTATCAAAAAACCACAAGAAGCATCAACATAAGCTGTGACAACAGCCATGACAGCACCAACAGCACCAGTGATGCTAACACAAACAACACCACCACCAGTGACAACACAAGTCATGACAACAGCACAAGCTGTAATACCATCAACCATGACAATGCCACCAGTAGTGATACCACACCAGCAGTGACACCAGTGGCAAATAATATATACCCAAAGGCCAACAGGGTGTGACACTGACAGTACTTCATTTGTGCCAAATGTTTCACAATTTGATGATAGTAACATTGGAATTCAGCCAAATTGTCCAACAGCAAATGAATCCACTGAACCTGACTACTCGCAGTTATTTTTGATGACACACTGATAAATATTATTGCTCAAACAAACAAATAACTATTACAAGTAAACAGTGACCAACTCTTGTTTCACTGAAATCATGGCTTCGAAAGTGGAAGGACACTACTGTTGCAGAGATGTGTCTTCTTTGCAACAGTAATGCTGATGCCTATAAGATGTCTATAAGAATAATATATCTATATAATGAAGTACAGATAGACTTGTAGCAACACCAGCTTTCAGTGAAATCATGCCCATTGATCACTCTCTCTTGCTGCTGCATACTTTCCTTTCTCTGATGAAAGTAATCCCCAGAGATGATCTGCTCTACAAAATAAGGGAAGTGATTACATACCTGAAATAAATTGCAAACTGGGTCCATGGAATGTGTTAGGAGCGGCAAGTGGTATATAAAATTGGTTTTCCCATTTGTTGGATGTTGGAATGCTAAATACATACATTCCAGGTGAAAACAGGAAGCAAACTCAAATTTGCCAATTTCCATTTATCTATCATAAGAGAGATTATAGAAAAATAGCAGGTGAAGATTTGGCCAACATGTTACCACCATGGTAGTGAAAGTGGTCCATTTCAGCTGTACACATCTATGATACTATTCCTGCTACAGAAGAAGCACAGAAACAATGCTATGTCAGCACAAGCAGAAAGCCAAGCAAACAAATAGATACATAATACATACAAGTTATCTCCATGGGGAAGTGGAACAGAATTCTTCCTCCATAAGCCATGCGTGTCATAGGAAGCGACTAAAATGCCGGGAGCAAGGGGCTAGTAACCCCTTCTCCTGTATATATTACTAAATTTAAAATGAGAAACTTTTGTTTTTCCTTTTGGGCCACCCCACCTCAGTGGGATATGGCTGGTACGTTGAAAGAAGACATAAGTTATGTGGCATTCCATTGTGCCTCAAGCCATGTTTCGAGGAACATCATACCTTGAAACAGTTTTAATATGGCAATAAAAACCTGCACAATTTGTTGCATGACAGAAGCAAGCATTAACCCTTTCAGGGTCCAAGGCCAAAATCTGAAGTCACGCACCAGTGTCCAAGAAATTTTGGAAAAAAAAAAAAAAAAAAAAAAAAAAAAAAAAAAAAAAAAAATATTTTTTCTTACAGAATTAAAGAGCATATTTTTTGTGAAGGTAATAAAACAAAAAAAAATAGAATCTGATCAGTACTTACCGAGATACAGTGCCAAGAAGTTTATAGAAAATGATGTGGTGGTGGCAACATCGACGAATTCCACATACGCGTATTATATTATTTTGTTGTTCTTTGTTTTTTTTTTTTCTTTCTTTTCCAATTTTTTTCTATTCCTACTAACATTTTGGGCCTGATAGACCAATCTGTATATAATTGATATATTATAAACTCACAGTATTGAACATCAATAACAGCAACTAAATTATTATCATTTTATTGTTTACCACGTTGTTTATTACAATAAACATGCACAAATTATTGTATAATACTAATGTTCTAATTCATATATTTACATATTACAATCACTGGACATGGTTTTAGAATACTGCTGGAGCTTGTGGAACTCCTTGAAACAAGGCACCATGCACGAGGCACCTTACATTCCTCACACAAAACCGAGTGACTTTGCGTCCTTTAGTTTGTCCATCGTTTGTTTGGCACAACAATGCATCTTCTTTTCTGACAAATTCTTTTGGTTGAAGGAAGCTGTAGTTAATGAATGATCACCTTCTCATCCTCAAACGCTTGGGTATATCATGATGAATCAGAGACCAGTTTTTATTGCAGGTGTTGTTACCTGGTACTCTATCATTATGAGTTGTCTGTACAACAGACAAACAAAATTCACCATAAGGTGGTCTGTTACCAGTCTTTATTTGGTACATATTATATGCATTCACATTAAATGCTCCTTGAGAGGAAAAAAGTTTTCATGTACCACTTGTAACTCTACGAACACAGTCAACAAAACCAATCTGCATGTCACACGGTCAACCAATGCGCATGTTTTGTGTAATAATCAATCACTGACACTGGTTTTCGATAACGTTCATTATGTACACTGTCGATCAACTTGGCCACTGTCTTGCAATTTCCATTATGGTGAATGGTTGTCAAACAATGTGACAACTCGTTGTCATGCACCCCGAATGCCAATGTTGTCATTGGCAGTAAACACCTGCACTCTTCACCACGAACACCTGCGTTGTGCCCTGGGCATATGTATTACGATTAGAACGCACTGTGCACACACATCTGTCTTTTCACCAGTCGCATGAAATCACTGATAATGGGACCTTGTGACCAGTTATCGTTATATAAGTATGGACCTTACCAAGATAAGGTGCCATCATGTTTCTCATCACTATGTCACCTGAGATACCCAATAACATCTTGGTATCTTTCAATGTTTACACTACCCGTGTTACAACAATACCAACTCCAGGCCACTGTCACAAATCACAGAGTACAAACAATTTTATACCAAAACGGTTGCCTCTGCTCGGTATATACTGCTTGATATGACAGTCGACCTTTGAATACAAAAGCAAAGACTCGTCATTACAAGATTCTTGAATGATAAAAGGTGGGGGGGGAGGGTATCCTGAGAACCTTTTGTTATTGAGATAACATGAAAACAAGGGAGGGAATTTCTAATCTTGTATAACCTTCACTTCTGTACTAGGCCCTGGGTTTTGGGTCAGAGAAGTGCAACATACGCTTAACAGTAAAGATACAACCACCGACGTTCACTGGTATTATTTCAACAAATTGAAGGATGGGGTAGAAATTTAGCCGATCTGTGGACTCAGTATAGCCCTTTTATATTATCTTATAGAAGTGAGGCATAAACATTATTGGTTGCAAAAAGCAAATACATTTCTGCAACAGTTCGTCTCGTATCCACCTGTGTAGTCCTTGACTTTGTGATAAGATCGTATTTGCCATGGTGTAACTGAAAATACTTATACTTTCACTGGCCAAGAATTTCACCATTCAATGGCTGGTCAAAGAATATTCAAAGAATTTCCAGTTCATTGGCCGTGGTTCCAAGGGACAAGGTGGGGGATATAGGTAGAATTCCACTTTTGAGAGTCATCAAAGTGGTGAAGCTTGGGAACAAAATTGGGATTTGCTGCCAATCCCACATACGGTTTGTGGGGATACTGCGACATCATAGGCTGGTTTGTACGGGTGTTGTGGTTGTGGCGGCTGAGTGGGCCGCCTCCCGTTTGTCCCTCTGAACTGACGAGTCAGCAGCGGGTCCCCGCGTGGCACAGTGAGTCACCGCATGGCGGTGCCACTACCACCATCAATCTAACCACCATCCACGTATGCCT